TGACTTGGTGGAAGCAACTAACACACTTTTGTTGCAAGCTTTAAGGGACGTGGCGAAAATAATAGGAGATGTGACGTTCGTCAAAAGGGATTAGTGACGTTCGTCACTTACTTGGTCAATGCATACCGGTCGTCACGCTTGTTGTTGACTTCTTTTTGCGTGCTCCTTCTTTTGGGCTTGGGCTTATTTTTATTTATTGTAGCCTTTTTTTTCTTCTTTTTCTTCCTTTTCTTCATAATTAATTTGATACCTGCAAAATAGCAAAATATCGGCATAATACCAAATACAAAGTGATTTAATTTAGAATAAAAATGGAAAATAATTTAGTTAATTCAAGCTAAATATGCAACATATTTATGTGTTATCAGCATGAACAGTGGCATCAGGTTGACTGGTGCCCCTCCCTTCACTAGGATCTTATTGATCCCAACATTCTCCACTTTACCCCTTATGAATAGGGTTTTAGATGATTCTTCATGACTTGATTTGGGCGTTCGAAGAACACATTCTGTTCTTTGACTGCACCATTGTTCATGACATAATATCATACTGGTCTGTGCTTGGCCATTTTGACTTCATCATCCCCTTCAGGTTCTTTAGCCTCAGTCATTTGGTTATACTCATGAGGTAGTACAGAAACCACATTACAATTTAGACCCAGATTTGATTCTTCCTCTGAATCAAAATTGTCAGTTAACATGTCTTCATCTTCTATTGGCCTTTCTTGCCTTCTTTCGTTGGTTTTCTCCTTTCTTTTGGAAAAAAGCTTCCTCTCTACTGGCTTTTTCTACTCAGTTTTGTTTTGAGGAGGAAGTTAGTTGGTGCTAGATTCCCCCATGCCCTTCTCAACCATTTCCCTTTGTGCCTTCTTGATTCTCTGATGCCTCCTCCACAGAGACCTCGGCATTGGGTTTCTCCCCTTGTAGTTCTCAGACTTATAAGCCTTTTGTTTCGAAACTTGAAATTCTATCATGTAGGCTATATATGAGCCTCTTTTAAATTCAAAACTTCTCCACTTCTCTTGCCCTTGCCCCCTATTCTCAACTGGTCTTACCCATCTGTCAGTTGGAGCATTGGCAGGTGGCTTGAAAGTTGCCCTTTGATTCACTTGAGGATAAGGACTGTCAGGCCTTTGAGGGACTCCTCGTTTGTTAAACACAAACCCGCTCCTGGAATCTCCCCAACTGCCCCTTCATCGAGCAATTTGAACCCTTTCGTAGTTCTCCGCGACTTTTCTATCATACATTGCACTGCATCTGAAACACATCAAAGCCTCAGAGTGCTTCTTCTGGCAGCAAACAAGAAAGTCCAACAAATTTTCTCTAATTTTTGGGTACGCCACTTTCATCTGGTCCTCTTCTCTTTGGATGCGCCTTTCGACATCATCATCTCATCATGCTGGCTCATCTACACCATGTTCCCTTCGAAATGAAAGATCTTGGTGTTGCCTCCTTTGGATTAGGAATTCATACACCGAGACCGATCTCGGGGTCTTCTATGATTATCACAAAGGAGATATATCGAAAAGTACTTAAAAGGTTTGGCATGGAGGAATGTAAACTAGGGGATACCCCAATTGCTAAGGGAGACAAATTTAGTCTTAATCAGTGCCCAAAAGGAAACTTAGAAATTGAAGAAATGCAAAAGATTCCTTATGCGTCAGCAGTAGGGAGTCTGATGTATGCCAAAGTATGTATGCGTCTGGATATTGCATTCATAGTTGGGAAGCTAGGTAAATATTTGAGCAATCCAGGAATTGATCAATGGAAAGTAGCCAAAAAAGGTTTAAGGTATTTAAAGAGAACAAAAGACTATATGCTCACATATAGGAGGTCAGACTAGTTAGAGATCAGTGGATACTCTGACTCAGATTTTGCTGGATGCCAAGATAGCAAAAGATCCACTTCAAGCTATATATACATGTTGGTGTCATACCCCAAATTTGTCCGCTTTAGTGTTAATAGTCAATTTGATTTATTTTGTCGTTCTTCTGCTAATTTTCTTTTTGTCATTACATTTGTTTAAAATTACATTATGTACGCTAATATGTAATCAATTATTCTGAAATTAATTTGGGCTTTCATTTGTATTTTATTTATTTGTTCTATGGTCACTTTTGTATCTATTGGGTTCATCATTTGAAAAAAATCTAACAAGCCCATTTAAATGTTGATAAGTCAATTAAGGGAGGGGGTGTAGTGAAATTTAGGTTAGTTTGTTAATCTCATTGTGTTGGCCCAAATTACCTTCAGATTGACCGAAGTCAACAATGTTTTATCATGTTTGTCTTATTATTCAATTTTATAAAAACTTATGTATTTGTTTTGGTTGACTAGAGACAACATTTATTTATCATTATTTTATTTTATTTAATATTATTTTTTATTATTTTTATTATTTTATTTTTGGAAATGTTGACTAAAGTCAACGAAGGGTTAGAAACCCTAATTCCCAGCGGTGCATTTTGTTCTTCTTAATCAAGTCACTCAAAGCCCAATTTCCAGAAATCTTTCTGAATCAAATCTGAAGTGAAATCAAATATTGGATTGAATTTATCTTTACAACGAATTTATGCATACAGGGCGTCCAAATTCGTTACAATTACATAAACCCTAATTCCTATTTTTACAACAAGATCTAATCAAATTAAATCTTACAAATTACATTCAATCAAACTCTAATCTAAAAACCTATAACTGCAAATCACACTAACTAATTTCCTAATTCATACTAATTCCTAACACTATAAAACCGTAAGTGCTAAACAGAATTAAGGATGACAAAAAAACCTTGGAGAACTCTTGCTCGGTGTTGCGAATCCTTAGCCAATCACTAAAGCTCTTCGTTCAAAAAAGAGGATTAGGGTTCATCATTAGAACCCTGATTTCTTTAAACTAAGCCCCAACGTTGTATCTGCGAGAAGAAGGAGAAAGAGATTAGAGGCGAGGAAAAGAAATCTGAAGGGGAAATTATACAAGAAGTATCACTACACAGACGGTAATTCTAATCCACTTAGCTTAGGGTTAATCGTTGTTATTGTTGTGTTTGTGTGAATGATTGGTGTTAAATGGTTGAAATTTCTGGAATTTTGATATTTAGGGTTAGGGTTCTTGGTATGTAGGGTTAGGATTCATTTGGGTTGGGGGTTCAAAGGGGTTAAGGTATACATTGTTAGGGTTCATACAAGAACCCTGGGGTTGGGGTTAGAACACATAGGGTTCTAAGGGCTTAGGGATGAAGTTGTTATGGTTCTTGGCGTTTTCCAAAATCAGGTGGAGTCCCTGGCGGACTCACGCCTGAGACGGTGACCTTCACGGCCACCCACAGTGGCAAGGGATGAAGGTATAAGGCGATTCCCGGTCGCCTGAGTTTTAGAGAGATGGGAGAGCATCTCTCTTGGTTTTTTTTGTGTGTGAGAGAATGGCTTAGAAAGAGAGTTGGAGGAAAGAAAAATGAAAAAAATGGAATGAAATCGTTTATATATTCCCTTTGTCTCTCCATGTACACAACTAACATACTCCCTCGGTCAAACTCTTCATCTTAACCCTTTGTTTGTTTTACTTTGAATGAACACTCTAGAGCTGGTCTCTGGTGGCCTTTTGATTCAGATCAAACATTCCAAATACGCCAATATATCGTAAGCGTGTGAGTCTTCTCACAAATTGTCTAACAGATCAAACAAAGTTATTTGGGTCAAGCCAACTGTTATCGGCACCCTCAAAATCACTTCTTCAACATAATTTGTACCCCCTCAGTGCCCTGGGCTTAAACAAAACTCTGAGATTAGGCCCTTGCTATTTCAACCCCCTATTTTACTACATTAATAAGAAATGCACCCCCGTCTTTAATTAAATAATTTTTTAATTTATTTAATTATTTGTTTTGTTTTATTTTATTTATTTTATTTATTTAATTTATATATCATATAATTATCAATTCTTCTCATATCATTTTTTTATCATTTTGCATTAAAATGATTTTTTTTGCATTTTTTCATAAAACAATCATTTTGCTGAATAAATATTGGACTATTGTTAAAAATATATATTTCTAATAATAAAAAAATAGTTATTTATTTACTAATTTCAAAATACTAACCCTTTTTATTAGTTCATCAAATATCTTTCATCATTCGTATTTATCATTTTTCAAACTTCATGCATTTTAAGAAAGCTAACCCATCAGATTTAATATATTTTTTTACTAACATAATTTTAATTCCAATATTATTTTCAAAAAGGATTGTGAATATATTTTCTATATTAACTGCGAACTTCGTTTACGACTACGCTATTTTCAAATCGAGACAAGGTTCTAGGATAATTCTAAAATATTTCCACAATCCATAAATAAAACTAACCAAACACATACGAATTACGAATTTGGACTCTGATTCTTCACAATGAGATACGTAGGCACGCTGTTTAAACCAATACGAGCTCATAACTAAAAAACTAAACTTTTTTCTCAAATTCATAGAAATAATAACTTTTAAGTAGAAATTCCCTAATCTACCCTTAGACCTAGAAAAGGAACCCCTTCAAAACAAAGGAGATGAAGGGTGTCTAACACCCTCCCATCGTCGAATCAACTCGCGACTTTAGAATCTCTGTAAAAATTAAGATTTAGAGTTTCACTATCTTTTAAGTCTAGGGTTTTTGAGGTGCTTTCTACTTATAGCATGTTTTTTTATTAGTTTATTGTTTATCGATTATTTATTACATTATTATATTTATATCGTGTTATTGTTGGTGGATTTTAAATTTCAAAAAAAAAATCAAACTTTGAAAAGAAGAATTGTCAATTGAGCAAGGGGATTAACACTTTTCCTAGATCCCACGCATTCCAAGCTACCTCTTAGCATCCCTCTGTAATAACACCCAATTTCTTCTCTCAATCTCATTATCAGACAGATTTAGATCGGATTTGGAACTTACCTGCTTGGTATTGATGCTTCTGAGTTGACCATTGCAACTAGCTCCCGACTTCTTTCCCTTCTTCTAGTTTTTCTTTTTTTCTTTCATTATTGTCAGTCTTCTCTTTCTTCTTTGTTTGAAAATTTGTGCAGCTCCCGTCAGTTTGGTTGATGAATCCCAGTAGACCCCATTGCTTGCCTTCTCCCTTGTTGTGATTTCCTTCTCCATGATTCCAGTTCGGGACTTTTCCCCCATGATTCTACTAAATTCTCTGCTGCTCTCACATTGGGTCTCCATCTCTGATGATGGCTTGTCTTCTGACTGAACTTTGTTTACCCGTTCATTCCTTAAAGTGTTTGCTCCCTGTTCGCCACGATTAGATATTGTGATGGGTCTGGGATTTAGGTGTTCAGATATCGGTGGTTCAATTAGATTTCCTATTATTTCTTTGTTTTCCAATATTTTTGTGTTGTCGTCTTCATTTTCGCCTTTAATGTTCCTTTCCACTATCTACTTGTTGGTGAGGTCCATTTGACTCAACTTCAAAACACATATTTTTTAAATGGGCTTTTCTGGTCCTCATTTGTTTGTGCGTTTACTAGGCCCAACTAAATCTGATTCATTTGTATGCTTATTCAGTTTAATGTTTTTTCCGTTTCCCACTATTTGTTTGCTCATACTGATTGGTTCCTTTCGTTCTGCATTAAATGCGCGTAACTGTCTTCTACCTTCTTCGATGACTCTTCATCTTCCGAAATCTCCATTGATGGAGAGATGAATGAATCTTCTAAGCCCACTGAGTCAACATCATCATCTTCCTCGGATGGGATTTCTCCAAGGTCATTCTCTTCGGCCTCAGTAGCAGCCGCACAGTTCCTCAGTAATGTGAATGGAGTAACTCACTCTGGTAATCTGGACTTACGTGACTTTGTTTATAGCCTCCAACAAAGGTAACAAAGGTGTTCTTATGCACACTCTCGCCCTGTCTAGCTCTCCAATTCTTAAGTTACCTGATCCATTTTAATAAATCTGCTGAAAAAAAGTACCAATATCGACAATGTTTTCCTCCTCCACGCAAGTACCGGAACCCTGAAAAATTTGACCCATGCATATCGGGCTCCTCCCATGTCTCTAGGTTCTCATTCAAATTGAATCTCCTGCCAGTCAATTTTTTGCCACATTCACATAGTAAACATAATAGAAACTGTTTGTGTGTTTATTTGACTGCATGACGACAAAAACTGCAATTAAATTAAAATTATTTTATAATAAAGTTAATAAATAGGGAGAGAAGAAACAATTCAAAATAGAAAATGTATTTCAATAATAGTTAAACACTAGTACTATACAATTATGAATTATCCATATAGTTATAGATATTTAAATTTAAACCATCTTAGTCAATTCATGTATGCTACATTGTAACCTCTCAATTTTCAAAGTTTCAAATTTAAAATAACCCACAGCTTCCGGTACGGCGTCACTGACACTTTCCCCTTCAAGTTACGTAATAATAAAAATCAACACCCACGTGCGCGCAACTCCTACGTGTCAACTCTGGGTCCACCTCAATCTGATGCCACGTCATCATTCACAAACCTTCGTAACCGAATCCGTTTCAACTCCGCAACAACCTCCCTTGAATCAGGTCTATCATCTTTATCCGCCGCAACACACCGGAACGCCAACTCCGCCACAGCCGCCACCGCGTCAAGCGCCTCACCGTCGTTCCCCAAATCAAGAACCGGGTCAAGTACCTCCCTCAACTGACCCGTATGAATCCTAGAAACAACCATATCAGCAAGAGCCATCTCACGTTTATCCCTACAATAATCCACAGCTTTAAGCCCCGATATCAGTTCAAGCAAAACCACACCAAAACTATACACGTCACTCTTTTCCGTTAACCGGAACGACCGGTGATAATCCGGATCTAAATACCCCGGTGTACCTTGAGGACCGGTCCAAACGTAACCACCAGACGACGCTGTTTGACTCGTTTCTTGCAAAATCAACAGCCTCGATAACCCGAAATCACCGACTTTGATTCTCATATCCTTCTCAACGAAGATATTCGACGACGTTATATCTCTGTGAACTATCGGTGGCTTAACCGCAAAATGAAGATACTCCATCGCTAACGCCGTTTGTATAGCAATATCAAGCCTCGTTTGCCACGTCAGCTTGTAACCGTTTCGTTTACTCTTGGAGCCGTGAATGTGTTCCGCTAGGGTTCCGTTTGGAACGTAATCGTAAACGAGAATCAGACCACGAGGATCGCTACAGTAACCGTGAAGTTTGACGAGGTTTGGATGGTTGATTGAAGAGAGAATCAGAATCTCGTTGCAGAACGATTTTGATGAGAACGCGGAAGTGTGGTTTGGGTTTTGACGGTGGAGGTGTTTCACGGCGGCGAGTTTTCCGTCTCGGAGATTGCCGAGGTAGACCGAACCGAATCCACCATCGCCGAGTTTTCGATTTGGATCGAAGTTGTTAGTGGAGGAGTTCAGTTCGTCGTAGGTGAAAACCGGTGGGAAGAGATTGGCGGAGTGGTGGTTGTGGAGGAAGGCGGTGGTTGGATCTTCTGATACTGATTGTTTGTTTAAGCTTCTGGATCGGAGAATCGAGATTGTTACTGTGATAAAAAGGAGCAAGGAAGTGAAAGCGATGATAACCGCGAAAACAGCAATTTTGTTGAGCTTCATTTTATGAATCCATGGTGGTGAAATGGTTTCTTTAGAATGGAAACAGATGAAGTGTTTGCTCGGGTCTGATGAATTGTAACCGCAGAAGCCGTTTTTGTTGAGACAATGTGTGCAATTTGTGAAGTAAGTGTCTTGTGTTAGTGCTTCATCCCATTGAAGTTCGATACCGAAAGTGAGTATCTCGTTGAGGTAACTAAGAACATCGCTTTGGCAACTGGGTTCGGAATCCGAAACAGAGTGATGCATAGATCTACAGTTAGTGAAGATCTCGGTTGGGTTTTTGATGATTTTGCATTGCCAAGGGCAGTGGGTGCAATTGGGGAGGGTTGGAGGGGGACATGGTTGGAGAAAAGAGAGACGAGAGCATAGTTCATCTGAGAGAGTGAATGGGGTGTTTGAGAGGTTGATGGGTTTGTTAGGGATTGGGGACGATGAAGATGATGAAGATGGGCAAGTGTTGTTGTTTGGTGGGTTGTGAGGGGAGAGTAAGATTGAGGAAGAGTTGGGTTTGTAAGAGATGATGGAGAAAGAGAGGTTATTGATGGTGAGGAAAGAGTGGGGAGATGAGCAGTTTAGTTGAAAAGAAGGGTGGCCACAGCCTGGTGAAGATGAGAACGGGAAAGGTGGGGTGGAGGAGAACGGTGGACAATGGTGTGTTTTTGTTGTGTTTGGCTCATTACTAAAAGAGCATGTGTGTGTTGAGGTGGGAAAGAGTAGAAAGAGGAAGATGAGAAGAAAGGTTGAGGGAAACATGGTGATGGGTGACGAATGAAAGTGGGGTTTGTAGAGTCATTAATGAGAAGTGATTTTTGTTTTAGATGGGATCTTAAGGAAGGTGAGTGGAAGGGTGTGAGAAAGAGAGCTACTGGAGCTACTAGTGACTTGAGAGTAGAGAGGTTTTTGAAGTTGGGGAAAGAAAGGGTGAAAAGTGAAAGAGAGCGAAAAAAGAGGGGCACGTGCAGGGAGGGAACATAGAAAAGACAAACACTCTCCGAAAAATTGCGCAGAGGTTTCCTAAATATACAAATTTATTAAAAGTGGAGAGGCAATATTACTACAAGTACTACTTATTCTAAATTTCTAATTCATTAATTATATAACTCAGTTCTATCATGAGTAGCGTATATAGGGTCTATGCTGAAGGGTAAATCCAACAAGACAAATTTAAAGTACACGAGAATACGTGGGATTTTCTTAAGAAAATACCCAATTTTGATTTTGAAACTAATGGGAACGGGTCCAAATCTCCTGCATTCAAACAAACACACATTCACGCATTCAAGTGTGTCAGATCGTCTGATCAAGATCGAACAGCTCTGATTTAAAGTTGTTAATTTTAAATAAATTAAATCTGTTTTTTTTAAACAAGTTAATCAATATCAAACAGTTTCTATCATTTTGACTATGTGAATGTGGCAAAAAAAAAAATTGACTGCAGAAGATTCAATTTGTTTCCTTATGGTTTTCTTTTTAGTTAAAATTATCGATTAATTATAGTATGAGACTTAAAAATGAATAGAATTTAAAATATAAAAAAATCATAAGAGATACTTAAAAGTGTACATATAATAGAAAAAGAAGTGTGTTTCAATGATAATAATAAAAAAGAATAGGGAAAAGAAGCATGTCTTTGAAAATACTATTCCCTGTCTCCTTTTCTCCAAAATTCCTCAATTATAAAACGCTTTTAGAACAATTTCTTGGTGATTATGGTGGAATTTATTGGTTAGAATTGTCAAATTTGTCTAATAGATGTTCAAAGATGATCTGGCCAAACTCTTGGTTAGAATATGTAGTATGTTGATTATAAGTTGTATTAAAGAGAGATATATGATCCCAATATTTAAGTTATTATATTGTTTTATTGTCATGGTGTAGTTTTAAGCTGTATTGATTGTTGTTTTATTGTCATAGTGTAGTTTTAAGCTATATTGATTGTTGTTTTATTGGCATAGTGTAAGTTCAAAGGTGGTTTGATTTTCATCTTGAATTGATCAAGGATTATGTGGATTCATAATTGATCTTACCGGATTAGATTTGGACCGTCACGACTGGTTCCGAGCGAAAGTTGAACGAGATGGGGGGTACCTGCAAGGCACTCCGATGCTGAAGTGGGTGATGGTACGAGCAGGCAAAAAAGTATGTGTATGGGTAAAAAATACATATTTGACCCTCTAGGAATAAAGGGTATTTATAGCCCCCAGCGCCGGGCCAAGGTCCCTTCATTGGGCCGACCAGGACTGACCCAATAAAGGAACTGTCAGGTTCTACGAGTGTAGTGGGGACCCGCACGTGGTCCCTTTCCTGATGATGCTCTGCGAGAAGTACGGAGGGACGAGGACGCGGTCTTTTCGGAGTTCAGGTGATGGAGTAACGGTCATAGTCTGCCCTACGAGGAGGGTGCTCGAGCTGGGCTCGAGCTGGATTTCATGTGGTCGATGACGTCATGTTCGCGGGCAGCGGCGGGCACGGCTGCAGCTTCTGGTCGACGTGCTGGCGGGAATCTTCGGGTGCGCGCTCCTTGAAGAGTTGCTTGAATTGGGCCTTTGTTCTTGCTCTTAGGCCAGGACGGGCCCAGTCCAGAACAGGAGCCCCCCAAGTCGTGGCTCTTGGAGCAGGAGTTATGACTTGATCTCAGCTCGTCTTTGTCACGGGGCCTTATGCTCGGCCAGGATATTTGCTTCCCCGTGGTTGCTCGAGGAGTTTCTCATGTGTTGCGTTCGTGAGATAATCCCTTTCGAGGCGTGCTCGGGGGATTCTTTGCGGGTTGTGCTTGTTGGGTATACGAGGTAAACCTTGGGAACCGTAACGCCACCCTAGTGAAAGTAGAGTCATCATTGCCTAGGGGAGTAGACGTCGAGGAGGGGAAGCTCGTGGTTCCCCGGGGTGACGTTTCGTATTCCACGCCATCCTTATAAATAGGATCCTTGGGTCCCATAATCTGTTTTTCCTCTTCGCGCTTCTCCTCCTTCCTCTGCCTTTGCCGCCGCTGTTTTTTCAGAATTTCGTAGGACCACCGTGCCTTCCGTCGTTGATTTTCTTCCCTGCCGCCGTACATCCTTCCTAACTTCCAAGTAAGCGTTTATCCCTCATATTTCTCTCTGTTGTAGGTAGCAATTTCCATTATTCGTATGTTAGAAATCCGCATCTGGGTAGCAATTTCCATTATTCGTATGTTAGAAATTTGCATCTGGGATTAGCGCCCGGTAAATTTGTGTTCAAGCCCGGTAGATCCATGTTTGTGCTCGGTAAACGCGTGCTTGTGCCCGGTAAACGCATAGCTTTAGGTATGTGACTCGTGATGTTGCCCGGGATCTTCATGGTTTTGGGCGTATAACCTATGATACTGCCCGGTAAACCCATAGTTCTAGGTTCAGGATTCATGATATTGCTCGTCATATTCATAGTTTAGGTCGACGTACTCATGACTGGCCGGGACGTTGGCCCTTTTAGGAAGTAGGTAGGACGACTCGTCGCGACACCTTAGCATCGGGTAGGTGGAACCAGGCTCTTGTTCGAGTCCTCGACGTTTTAACGCGCGCGAAGTGTGACTTGGCTTGTCGTGCCCTTCTTTCCGTCAGTTACGGCGAGCGTATGGATTTGCTCTCGAATTTCACCGGTTTCCTGTGCTTTGCAGGTAAAATGGCTGATGAACCGGAGTCTTCGGGGCGCAACGAGGTCGAGGACCAGAGTGCCGAGGAAAACATAACTCTAATTGATATCGTTGATGACCCTTTGCTGGATTGGGTGGGCGCCGAGCCCAGAGGGATTGCCTCGGCATATAGTCGGCGCAGTCGGAGTGCCTATACTATCGTTGAACATGGCGGTAGTCAGCCGGGCTTCTAGAAAAACTTTGTGGTCACCAGACCGTCTCTTGACGCGCGGATATGCTCGGAGTTCTCTGAGTATGGGTTTCCCATGTATGAAATCGCGTTCAAGGACCTCGGCCTCAAGCTCCCCTTTAGTGATTTCCAGGTCGGGGTATTCAGTCATCTGGAGTTGGCCCCCTCGCAGCTTCACCCCAACTCGATCGTCTTTCTTTGGGCGTTCGAGCTAACGTGTTTCTTTTTAAGGATTGGGGCGACCATCCCTCTCTTCTTCAGAGTTTTTCATTTGCAACGCCAGTCTCGGGGAGGTAGGCATAGTTGGGTTTCCCTGAAACAGTCGAAGAGGTTGTTCAGGATGTACATGGATTTGGTCCGGGGTTTCAAGGACAAATGGTACGTCGTGCGGCCGATCACCCAGACTGCTTTGGATTATGTATATGAAGAAGAGACTGCAGTGACCGACGACAACGGGGAGCCTCTTATGGACGGTGAGGGTCGCCCGGTGTTGGGGCGCGTAGCTAAGTTCTCATTGCATTGGAGCTCGCGCCACTATGAGCATGGTACCGGGAATTACCATACACCCGCGAGAGGGATGAGTGACGAGGACGAGGAAGCTTACGGTACCCTTCGCAGATATGTCGACAATTTCTTCCCTGCCTGGTGGGCCACGAAGGAGGGAAAGGACATTCTCGACGAGGATGGTTACCCGACCTTCGAGGCCCTTCCTATAGATACCAAGGCGCTTGTGGAGTGTCAGTCCTACGGGCAGGCCGCGAACCTACTAGGTTACCTTTTGTCTTATAGTTTTGTTCTAGTTTCTTCGTTTGTTACTTGCTCGTAACTAACCCGGGTTTTATTTTTTGCAGGTCATATGGCCGGACGAAAGGAGAGGCTTCTAAAATTGACTCAAGATAAGAAAGTCAACAAAAGGATGGTGCGAGTTCCACAGGCGACGAGGATGGGCCCGCCAACTAGTTCGGGTGATGCTTCTGGCGAGTCCCCGGAATCCCAGGACGTCGAGCAGCATATTGATCTGATACCGAGGAAGAGAAACCGGGAGAGAGCCAGCCGGAAGTCGGCGACGAGTCTGGCGCGGTGAGGGCCTTTGGCTTGCCCCCCTGCTTTAAAGAAGAAGGCATCTTCGAGGGGTTTCCCTTGACAGTAAGTGCCGAGGAAACTGAGACCATCAGGCGGCTAAACAAAGAAAGTCAGAGAAAGCATCTGGCCGCCAGTATGGTCGGGATGGTCAACATGGCCGAGATGGTCATTGTCCTCGCTGAGGAGGCGGAGGACTCTGACCGCGTCAAAGAACTGGAGCTGGAGAAAGTTGCCCTTGCTGCGAGCTCTCGAAAGTTGAAGGCTGCTCTGGAGCGATCTGAGGAGATGTTCCGCGAGCAGGCCGAGCTGCTGGCCACGGAGAAGGAGAACTCGGGGAAGGTTTCCGAGGAGAGGGACTGTTTTCTCCTGGACCGGGAACGCTTGGGGACCGATAATGATCGTCTGGCCAAAGAAGTCGAGGATCTGAAGGCCGCCATGCTCCCCGCCGAAGATGAGTCGGAGGAGACAGTCCCCTTGCAAAGTCGCTCGGGTCTGGTCGCACAGATTCATCTCCTCGAAACGGACTGTGTTGGCGCCTTGGCGGATGGTTTTGAGGCCGCGGTTAGCCAGCTTACTTTATTGAATCCTGGTCTAAATACCGAGGGGGCGGGTTTCATGTCCCAGATCATTGATGGCCAAGTCGTGCCTCCTCCCGAGTCTCCTGTTGTGGATGATGGCAGCCCCGGGGAAGTCTAGTCGTGGAATTCTGGTCGGGTCTGCGCGCCTATTTTTTTATAGTTGTTTTTTGGGGCCTGCGTGCCCGTGCATATTTTTTGGGCCTGCGTGCCCGTGCCTGTAATTTTTGAACATCACCGGCCTTCTTGGTCG